ATATATATATATATATATATATATATATATATATATATATATATATATATATATATATATATGACGTGATCTGAGACAAACGGAGGTCAATTTTTGTCAACCAAATCTAATGCCTCAGCATGACTTTTCTACGACGTCGAGGAAGTCCTTTTTACGATTCAAGACAGCTGTGATCACACGCTTCTCTCTACTGTCTCTCTCTCTCTCTCTCTCTCTCTCTCTCTCTCGCGTCCTTGTTCTCTGCTGCAGAGGAAAATGAGACGATTTATTGAGGGTGACTGCGACTGCACGCCGCTGCCCGACCACGCGGCCTCCACCTCGCTGGCATCAAGTCTGGATAAGCCTGTCCTCTCACCTCGTCATCCCTCGCTTCCCTCCTCCTCCCTCCCACCGCCCCCCACCCTCTCTCTCTCTCTCCCTACTCGTCACCACCACCACCTTCCCTCTCACTTCATGCTCCGGTCATGGAGTTCATGATACAGTCGTGGAAAGGTTGCAAAATATCAATGCCAAATTCATGTATATAATAATAATTATAAATATTATAATTATTATTATTATAAGCTGGAAAGATCAAGATTTCTGAAGCTGAAAATAGTCAGTAAAATATTAAGTGTTAATTGCATGGAATTCATTATAAGCTTTGTCAATCACTAATCTCATATATATTTTAATACTCCGAGAAGATTAAGATGTGTGAAGCTTCAAATAGTGAAGATGAATGTGGTGGAAGAAGTTGCAAAACATTAATAGTTATATATATATATATATATGTATTATTAATGAAAGCTGGGAAAATTAAGTCACGAAGATTTCTGTCTCTCAAAGGAGTGAGCACGAGGGATGTATGATGTAACTGATGAATCCACGGTAGATAATGAGAGAGAGAGAGAGAGAGAGAGAGAGAGAGAGAGAGAGAGAGAGAGAGGAGATGAGGAAGATGGTGGAAGGCGACTTGGCGGTGTCCCTCTCGGTGCATGTTGGAGATGACGAGGCCAACAAGAAGCAGTAGCGGGCAGTAGATTTGCTGGTGGGAGTCAGTCGGGATACGTACCTCTCTCACCAGTCCAACCTTCGATACAGCCTTTTCTTTTTTCTTGCCCCTTGTCGTCTACTACGCAGGGTGGGCTCCGCTGTTCCTCCACCGCGCGGAAGAAGGATCGACAGAAGCTTTTGGTTCTCATCTTAGACAGAGGGACCGAGTTATTATCATGGAGATGAAGGAACATACCATGAAATCTAACTTCACATTTATCTATGGGAATCTCCGAAGCGTATCCACGCAAAATGCTGAGTGCTGCTTCCTCAAACCATAGTTCAATGACGTGGTGGGTTAGATTCTATCGAGTTAAATTCTATTTATCTGTTAAGTCAAATCTTTGATCGTTCGTTTTGCTCTCACATCTCATATGTGTTGTTGTTACAGCACATATGCATCAACAAATATCACATTTCATATGTTGAAAAATAACGTAGAAAACCATAGATTTCAATGATTCAAACGAGAAAAATATGTTCTTCTTCACTTTTGGCCGGGAAGCGGGACCCGCGGCAGATACCCGTGGATCCGAGTGGGACCCCCTAGCAGATCCTCGTGGGACCCACCACTTTGTGTTTCGGATGAACGGGCATGTATGAATCGACAGAAATAGAAACATAATGCACCTAAAATATCCTTCGCCATCGTCGCATCAGCTTCCCTGTCGTCGAGTCTTCGGTGGATCTCCTAATCGGAGCGTGGCATCGTGGCGTTGTGATCCGTGACTTGAGGTCACGCATGTGAATGATCCAAAAGCATACGCCATGAAATCTCATCCACCGCTGTCACGCAAAGCGACCGGCGTCCCACCTCGCGATCGCTTCCCTCTTTCTTCCTGAGTTGCTTCCAACAATTGCAGCATCTCGAAATATGACAAGAGCAATAATGGAACCAGAATAACGCGTTTATGATCGTGTTGACCGGAGATACAGTGGACGGCAGCGATGATTAGATCAATCTGATAGTGCTTTCGGATTCAGTCTGCAACTTTGAATTGGCAGGAGAAGAAGGGATTAATTGTCGCCGGAGGCATCGATTGATGTCCACCACCACCCTTCTCGGAAGCTTCACGTGGAAGCAACTACTGGGTCTATAAATGCCTCTAGTTTCAAGGTCAACAACATTCACGGATAGATTAATATGTATCAGTGGATAACACTGAGGAAGTTTGATAGATAGATATGACTTTCTTCTTTGGATTCATCGTTGGAGCTGTTTGTGTCAATTAGCTCAGCTCGGATAAGGTTCTGATAGCTCTTCGTTTGAGTGTTTGAATTCAGATAACAATGAGTGTGGATTAAGCATGCACAGAAGTACGAGACATCAATCAGTAGATACTGAGACTGTATGACTCGGTGGTGGTGGAGATTTGCAGTGCCGTCTCTAAGCTCGCGACGACCTGCTCCATGGACGGACGCTGCTGCTTGTGCGCGACGCAGGAGAGAGCCAGCTTGAGGCTGAGCTCAAAAGCTTCGACGGAGTACTCTCCTCTCAGTCGCGGATCAGCGAAGTCGGATAGCTCTTCACCTCGTGTTAGAATCTTGGGCTGCGGTGGGAAGCTTTTTCGTCAGCTGTAGAGTACTACATCTATGGAGGGTGGAGAGACGGTAGAGCTGACCATTCTACTCGACGACGTCGGCCTTCTCATTACGTTCAGGTTGACGACTCTTTTCCCTGAGAGGAGTTGCAGGAGGACGATGCCGAAGCTGTACACGTCTCCTGCGGCGTTGACTCGGTGGTTCTGACGGTATTCTGGGTCGACGTAGCCGAAGGTTCCTCTCACCTCCGAGCTCACGTGTGACTCACCTACATCTACTACTTTGGAGAGACCGAAATCTGATAGCTTTGCTTCCAAGTCGGCACCAAGGAGTATGTTCGTCGGCTGCATGTTTGACGTCAGATAATTCTGTCGATTAATGTGGCATGGAAAGAACAGTCAGGAGAAAGATGCAGCCAACCTTCACGTCACGATGAACGATGCAGCCTTCAGGATATGTGTGCAGAAACCAAAGGCCACAAGCACTGCCGATCGCGATCTCCAGCCTCTGAGTCCATGACAAGGTTTTATCCTTTCCTGTCACATTGTCGATCATGGTCAGCGTCTCAAGAAAGAAGAAGAAGAAGAAGAAGAGAAGAAAAGCCTATTCAAGAACACAATACCGAACAGCCACTCCGACAGATTTCCATTCGTGCACAGCTCATACACGAGGAAGCACTCGTCTTCTTCTTCGCAATAGCCCTGCAAAGCAACAAGGTTTGGATGCCTGATATGAGACAGGCTGGTGACCTCTCTCATAAATGTCTCTGCATAGCCATCCTTGATATGCTTGATGGCAACATGACATCCATCTGGAAGAACACCTTTGTACACCTTTCCTGGCAAGTAGAAAACCAATCAGAAATCAACATTGCATGAACTCACAACATTGTATGAATGCTTACCGGCTATACCCTGACCGATAAAATTTAGAGCCCTCAAGTTATTTGTGGCAGCATAGATCTCCTTGACTGACATCTTTCTACAGCCAAAATCTTTGAATGCTAATGCCTTGGGAGCTGCAAAGCCTACTGATGTAATGTACAAGGATCATTTTCATGGTTTGAAGACATGAAATAGCCGATGTAAGTGCTACGGGAGAAGCATATATGCATACCCTCATCTTTCACAGGGGTATCATCAGATTGATGTCTTCTTCCTTTTAGCAAATGCCATGATGTGATTAGTATTAGAATCACAACCCCAAGTAAGGAACCTATAAGAATCCATATGCCTGCTGTTTCCACACATAAGTTCATCTGATAAACAAATTGTTGATTTAGGAGCTTGACATGAAGAAAGGTCAAGTCAGTAACCTTTTGTTGTCATGATGTATATTCCACCATCAAATGATCACTTCTATTCTGCATGTAAAGTTGAAGAGAAGGATCACCAAAAAGAGGGCAAATAAAATGTAAATTTATCCTTAAAATAATCCCAAGACTTGTAGAAGACTCTCTCTGCTAGTGTTCGAGTTTGTCCTTCATAATACAAGAAAATAGATGTATTTGTCTCTCAAACTATAAGGAGTTGGAACTGACAAAAAAGGTTGCCTCCTAAGAAGCTAAATTTCCTTCTTTCTGTACATCATAATCAACCCTTTAAAGCATCGAATAGATCAAATAATCGAGAATTGGATCGGCCTCTTTATACTTATTTTTGAGAAACTTAATCTATGTATAAATAAACTGGCTAAGAATCCGGATGCTTTGGCAATTCATGGTGATGATGAAGGTGTGTATACCTTTGGACACTGCACCGAGACAAGCTTGAGCTCTCTTCCTGCTGCTACTTGGCTTCCTTCTCTACTATGTTCTTGCTTTGGTTGTGTGGAGGTTTGTGAAGAGATCTATCGGAGAGTGCTGCCTCGGAGGCATCGCACGAGGACAGGGAGGGGCTTTAAATGGATGGAACAGCGTTGCCGGCCGGTAGTCATGGACTTGGGTTTGTCGCGTTTTGTATTGGCCGAAACATTTGGCCGCTCAAGAATTGAGAGAGAGAGAGGGAGAGAGAGAGAGAGTCTTCCTTGTTGGGTGGATAAAAATATGGTAGCTTTGTAGCTGTCAATGGCTTCGGTTTGACTGTGGTGGCAAAAGGTCGAATATTCACATGTTTTCTTTATCAATTATTTTTATGTTTATGTTTTCTAAGATGCCATATAATTCATTAAAAATGAGAGTAAAATCTTAGGATGATTTCTCCAAATATATATATATATATTATTACAACCTTTCTAACTAAATTCGAATATATCCTTATAGCTACTAATAAAAGAAATATAAATATTTTATGAGTAAGATTTACAAGTATTTTTTTATCATCTATTTTCTTGGGTTAAAGTGTTTTGTATGTAATAGAGTTTCGGTGTTTTTGAAATTAAAAAATGAGCGAAAAACACTTCACAAATGTTGAATTTGTCTTCCTTGTTTAATGGAGAATCGTTTTCAAGATCAACATTCTTACTATCCCAATCCATCAACCCTTTTCTCATTCCAACTTGTTGATGTTTCATTGGGAATAGACGAGATTAGATTATTTGCGTACGAATTCAGTCGAATTCCAAGGAAGAACTCAACGATCACTCGAATTCAGTCGCCCTCCGTTTCAGCTTTATTTCTTTGTCTTTGTCCCCTGCACCGGCGTTCGAGGGATCCGAACACGAGAGCTCGCGGGTGGCGATCAGCTAATACGGCGGCAGAGCGTGAGGCCATCGGAGATGGAGAGCTGGCAGATCTCGATGCGCGGGTCGGCGGCGAGGTGCCGGTTCAGCTCCAGGAACTTGTCCTTCATCTCCATGACATAATCTAAAACAGGGTACTCCGGCTCCACCGCCACGGTGCCGCTCCACAGTGTGTTGTCGTAGCCGATGACGCCGCCCACCCTCACCAGCTCCACCACCCTCTTGTGGTAGTTCATATAGTTCTCCTTGTCTGCATCCACAAACACAAAGTCGAACCATCCCCTGTACTTCTCCTGCACCACCGATGTACCAACCGAGTATGAATCCGTGTACCCTACATGGCCGAGTTCATCGATCTTTCTCTTACCTCCTGCATCAGTTCATCCAGGACTGGTAGAGCCTGGCTCTCACGGAAGTCGATCTTGTGAGCCACCCCTGCCTTCTCGATCACGGGGAGTCCCAGTTCATAGTTCTTCCGATTCGGATCGATGGCCAATATCTACAAAAGAGTGTAAGCTAGCTCCATCCCAGAGATTTCTGTGCGAGCGGTGGGTGATCTACGCACGTACCTGGCCATCCTCAGGTAGGGCGAGAGCGGTGGCGAGCAGGGAGTAGCCGGTGAACACGCCGATCTCTAATGTTCTCTTGGCGTTCATCAGCTTCAGCATCATGTTCAGGAACTGCGCCTCATCTGCAGCTACTGCCATGCCATTCCTGCTCGATGCGAGGTTATCAGAAGAGGGAACGAAGGCACATTGGATTGAGGCCGGAGGAGCTTACCAGGGGTGTTTGGCCGTGATGTGGCGGAGCTCCTTCATGGCCTCGTGCTCACGAGGATACACGCTGGTCTCCAGAATATACTGTACCGCACATCATGCAAGATCAAACACACACACACATACATACATACATATATATATATATATATATATATATAGAGAGAGAGAGAGAGAGAGAGAGAAGTTTCCTGGAGTCTACGAAAGAGATGAACCTGGTAAAGGGCATCGCTCTGCAACAGAGTCTTATTGGCGTGATCCTTAACCCGTCTATCCAATGCGACATGGGACTCAGATGGCGTCGCCATTAAATGTCGTTAGTTCTCCTCCTCTCTCAACCAGCTCACTCTGGGTGGTGATCGAGGAGGAGGAGGGTGGTGGCGGTGATATATTGCGTGGTGGTCTGCAACTGGAGCGGCCGCTGCGACACTTGTCCGGCGTGATCCAGGGAGAGAGGCGGGCATCACGTGCACGCGTCGTCAGCTGGGAACGGAGCACTTGACGAGACGAGGAGGGGCTGCGGCCTCGGGGTAACGGACGCGACATCAACGGCCGCGAATGATGGTACGATGTGGGCGTTATGAAGCCGTTCATCCTGCTTTTATAATTGTGATGATGAAGGATTTATCATGTCGTGTCATTGATGTGAGTATAAGCTCATGACCTTAATTAACTATGTCCAACAATATATATTCTCTTCTCTGTGGAGGAATATTGAAGTGACACTTCTCATGAATTCATATATTTAGATCTTTAGGGGGCGGTCTCTTGTTTTTATTTATTTATTTATTATGTTTGATGAGTATTTCAATAAAATAGAAAATTGATTTCGATGAATGAGTTTAAGAATAACATAATTATTTTTTTTTAATTTTCATCATGCTCCAGTCAAATATATCCTTAATTGATATAAATATTATTTTTGGATCAGTCGAAACTTAGAAACATAAAATCTAATCAAAATTTATGCCACACAAATAATGTTAGCTATTAGAGATGGTAAAAAAATAATTAAACATACCACATCAGGAGAGCATCTAGAGGTTATGTTGTACAATTAAATCATTAATTACAAGAACAACATTTTATATTTATAGATATATTTTCAGTAATTTATGATATTTCTATATATATATATATATATATATCATATAATATCAGTATTACCCTTAGGTTTTGTTGCATATATAATGATGCACCAAGAGATGCATTTGTTTGTAGTAACTGTAGCAACCAGTTAGCATTTAACTGTGTTCTTGTGCTCTTTTTGAGGTTATATGTTATCATTTCCCTTTGATTCTGTTTCATCAAAGGCTATTCCAATGAGTCCATCTTTGGATCATAGAGCACAAGAGCCTATGAGAGAGATACACTCCTAAGACTGGAGATGTCAGATAATCTAAATGCAGTTATCTGATTAATAATTAATCATGTTCAATCATAATATGTCAAAGGATTAAACACCTCACAGTAAAATACTGCTAAAATAGCCTTATAATTCATTGACACTTTATCCTCCATAAGCCACTTGAACATTGGCAGCATTACTAATATTTCTTCCAGGAAGAAAAGAATCTTGCATCTATTTTCTCTCTCTCTTTCCTTTTCTTTGAAATCCACAGCAATCTTCTTCAGCAACCAGACCATAAATTTTGCAGGCAAAGAAACCTCTACAAATGCATGAAATCTAACCTCTCTGTAGGGAGATTTTTGTCAAGCTGATGAAGCTGATCAACATATATATCCTTCTACAATACAAATAGAACTGTTAATATACATCTTGAATATTTGAGAATGTGAAACTTCTCAAGCATGGAATCCTTTCTCAAGCATTTCTAATTTGTCTGAGATCAAACTTCGATGAAATTGAAATGACCACAGCAAGTCCTTTTGCATAGTTCATTTTAAAATGAGCTAGTAACAACTCTGCATCAAATACTCCACAATAAATGATCTAAACCTGGTAAACCTTGAAGAATGAGCTATGCAAAGGCAACGATAACATCTAATATGAGATCATGTTTACTGTTCTCTAATACTCAAGCTAACTCTATAACAAGTTTCTTGCTCAAAGAGTGCTTGGCTACACTAAACTTGATATCCTAAGAACCATTGTACCTGCCCCATGTCAATTCTGGCTCCACCATCCTGGGTGGCCTTCCTTCCTCTCTGGCCATCCACAGAGGTCCGGCATACCGGGCAGCTTGGCCTCTGCAGCAGCCAGGTATCCAAACACTGTGCATGGAAACTATGACTACATGATGGAAGCAACTTGCAGGAATCACCCACCTCAAAGTTCTCCAGGCACACAGGACAGTCAGCTGGGAAATGGATGTTCTCTTCTACTGCTTCAAAAGCATAGCAAGGGAGCTTCTCCAGGACTTGTAGGGATAAGCCCTCTGATGCATCAGCAGGTGTAGACAAGCTGCTGAAACCCAAGAAACCTCTTCTGGTTGCTCTCCAAGACATACAGATTTGAATGAGCAAGAACACTCCAATGCCACCAAATACTAGGCCAATGGCTGCAAGCTTGTTGTTCATTCTATGACCCTCAATCCTCCACCAACAGTCTTTAACTTGTGAGGCAGTAGGATGTTAATATGACTCCATTTCTAGAGCATGCGATGCATGACATTTTATTTACATAATTTTGAAGAATTAGTCTTGTGAAAAAGACCTTACACTTGTTTTGCAACTCTTTTTCTTTTTGTGTGTTGAAGATGGTGATTCCTGACCAACATATAGGCTTTAACACGCATATTCCCAAAAGTAAGCTACACATCCTGCCTCCTTATTAAACATAAATCTCCAAGAATTTGTAACCAATGAGACACAGGTGGATGATTTGGATACACCTATTATACAGAAAGAAGGCATGGACAAAGATGTAGACCTGTAACTTATTTGTTGCTCAGCAAACTGTGTCATTCCTATCACCTCCTCTGATGTACTTCTGTCCCTTATTTTTGTTAAATGCTTCTAACTTAATTTTCTGCAGTAGACTAAAGTGGGCAGCAAATTGATATTTGAGGGTCAGGCAGGTTGAACAATTAGCTTCCAACCTAAGCATCATTCATTGTCACCCCCTCCAAAAGAGAAAAGGAAAATGTCTAGGTCAAAAAAGTTGGGTGCAGGTGCCAACTTCACAAAGTTTTCAATTTTCTTCAAGATGAGAGAACCTAATCATTTAGAACTGTCTGATGAGTAAAAAATATTTGGCACATCATCAACAAAGATATGAGCTATAAACTTCTTAAAGAAGAAGGGAACAAAAGACAGTATTTTTCTTAGTGGTAAGTGTTAATTTTAGGATCAAACAACTTTACTACCCATATGAACAATCTCTGTGAACTTCTAGCAAGGTTCTAAGTTCACGTGGCACAAAGATCTCAATTTCCAACAGATACAAGAGTAAGATTTCGATCCTTCCAAAAAAGAAAGTCAACTTGAGAACCATCAAGCTAGTGAATAATGTCATAATACAAATTTATCAAGACCTAATAAGAGCAACACACTAGAGATTTTACAGTAAGGTGTTGGGCAAAAGAAGAATGGATAATATTAAGGCAACATTGGACAAAGTTAACGATAATATTGGTAAAGATAGACTAAAAAAATAAAGAGAAACTTTTTATTAAATGCAGTACCTTCAAGCTATTAATGTCAGATTATCAGCAATCAATGTCTATTGATCATTTTAACATGCAAATGTCTCAAGGGATAAGCCATCTAAAAAGCAATATTTTTCCTTTACGCCCAATTGAGGATCAAATGAATCAGGAAAGAGTTAGAAAGAAGCACAAATATTTTCAGCTGGTCACAATTTATAATTCATATTACCATACACAAAGGGCACACTTGGGAGCATCAAATGAACTACCTTTTTCAGTGAATCTAACATCTAGCATATCAGCAGTGTCTGATCCTGCTTCCTATTTGTTTCTTGAATAAATATAGGAGAGCTGTTCCATTATTGAGTAGTCTCCAATGAGAAGTTACAAATAAGATAAATACACAAGAAGATTACTGGTTCTGAAAACTGAAGCTTAGTCTGAAGTTAACCTGGAAATATAAAACAAGTCAATGTTTTCTTGTTTACTATCTGCGCTGTTTCATCTAGTAAGAAAAGCAACATAAGCAAATCAGCACATAGACATCATGAACATGAAATATTTACTTTTTGGGCTACGCAACAACATGTATTATTGAACACCCCGAATCAATCTTCATGTTTCTCTTCATCTTCAGAATCTACACAGTACAAGAATACCGAAAGCAAAAAATTAGACAATGAGCATTCTAAAAATACATAATAATAGAAAAGAATGCCGTGCCATACAACATTATAATGCCTAAAGGCCATAAAATTTTGTAAAGCTCCCAGAACCTGACTTTAATGCCTTAACTGTATCTTTTTATATCCACCATTCATTAATAGAATGTGGATAAACATCTGGTTGGGGG